GGCGTGTGGCACCGCTGTCAAGTCAGTACGCATATCCATAAGTGTGTGAGTGAAGATTTACTCTGGCACAACACCGGTCAGATGAAAGACAAGCAGAAGTACTTGCTTTATGAGTTTGACCTTACACGCTGCGAGGGCAGACAGGCAGGTTGTGCTTTGATTTGAGTCTTTTGGACAACAGATTCATATGCCATCATTAGTGCATTTATATAGTTGTATGTATGTACTGTATGTGTGTTCACCTATCATTTTTCTTCGTTCTATTTTGTCTTCTCGCGAGAGGCATCCAGATATATAACCGGCTGATCCTCAATTTGTAGGATACAGTGATGATGTCCCTATGTGTAAAGTAGTTGGTAAGGTTTTGAGTCGAAAAGTGCACTGTAGTGAAACAATGAATGTGATCCTGATTGTGCATTACCACGCGTTTTCGCTGGAAGCAGTCATGAAAGAAAGGCATCGATATTCGCAACTGGTGAAAACTGCAACTACCCTATTGGTGGCAGGATACATGCAATTCGTCACCATTGGACATGCCAAGTCTAACTTGCTTTTGAACTTGTAATAGCCACGGTCGAGGATTCTGCTGCGACCATCATTAAAGTCTCCTCACCAACCTCAAGCAGATCTGGAGTTTTGAGAAGATTGTACAAGTGATCCAGGTTTGATACTTCGCTTTGCAAACAGACAGGGCACAGCAAGCAATGGTCTCATCTCACCTGAGCTGATCTTATCTCCCCTGATTTCCTGTGATCTCATATCCTTTCTCACCTCCTTGCCACTTCACCTGGCCCCGCAGGCAGCATTCAATTGTGTGTCGCAATTGCTTGCCCGCTGGCTGTTGCTGACTGTCCACATAGTGCCTTGTGCTCTGGATCTGGCTTTTTGATATGTTGTCTGCCACTTGGGTCGCTTGGGTCATCAGTGCCACTCGATCATTTGGCACAGTCATGCGAACCCAACCGACCCAAGCGGTCAAAGATCACGGGCGACATTTCGCTCCGCCTCAAGTAGTGCTTCCGTTGTTTCAGGCGTTTTTCACATCAACTGCGGACGCCTCATTCCAGTTCCTGTCCTAGATCACAATTCCTTTTTAACGACCAGGAGACTCCTTTGCAGCATGTTTTTTCCCCCGAGGCTTTATGACTTCTAAAAGGAGCCTGCTTTGGTGTGATGGGACTTGGCTAGGGTTTATGTCATGATCTGGGCCAGAAGTAGGCCGAGGCGGCGCAGGCAGCTCACTTCTCCCACATCTTCACACACCGCCGGCATTGGCATGTAGAGTTTTGGTACAGTGGACAGGCCTTTCATTCACACTACGCGTGCATGGATCTACCTATTGATGAGTCGCGCAGGCTGAATCTATGCTCCTGCCACTGAGCTTTGGTCACGCAGCTAATAGGCCTTATGATGTGTTATTGGGTTTGGAGAGTTGATCTCCAGACGTGCCCCTTCAACCTCCTGGCAGAGTGTGTTGTTGAATGGAGCCAGGGATATTGGATTCGCTTTGATTACAGGTAACGCTTCTAGAAAGGGTTCGTGCCGTATGTCAACACTGAGCTATTATTGTCACCTTGGGCAATTTTTAAAGGTTTGATTTGTTCTGCTTCTTAAAGACCGCGGAGGGAGCCTGCCACCTTGATGAAGCTCACGAATTTTCAATGCATCCATCGACTGCAAACCGCAAACCGTGTCTCTACCCCACTGCCGTGCTAACTGCGTTTGGTCTTGCTGTCCCAATCAAGAGCTTCATATTCACAAGCATTGCCATTCTTTGTGATGTTCTGCCAAGCGACAGCGCATTGGAGCTTGGCGTTCCCGACTGGCTTTCATCATGCTTTACTTGCTTCGCGGGAAAGAAGAGATTGGCACAATGAGGCTTATTGGGGCCACTTGCTTCATAGACTGCTAAAGCTCCCAGCTGGTCTTTGGAAATGTTCCCGGTAGCCCGCAAGAAATTGGGCTTGTCTGTTGTTGGGTGCCATTTGCCACTTCTGTGACAGGTCCCCGCAAAAAGGTGGCGGATGTGGTAACACGACTTGCAGTCTCAGCTGTGCTAAGAAAACAGGCCCCTCGTTACATCGTAACAGGTACCGGGGGATATGGGAATCAACAACTAGTGGAAGATACCCAAATACAGGACACTAAGGAAGCTAAACGAGGAAACGTGATCTCCGTGAACACAAATTCTGAATTACATGAGACGGACAGGGAGAAGCGCGCGGAAGGTCTGTTTAAGCCACAGAAGCACGTCAATACGTGAAAGGCACAAACTCGCTAATCCGGAACACGATGTCGGAGTGTCTAGCTCGAAATTTCCATCAAACTTTGTGAGGTTCAGGAAGAGAATTAAACATGGATGTATGGGACAAATCAGGGGCAATTGGAAAAGCATTTGGTAGGTTATGTGATGTGGGTTATGTGGGAGGGACATTTGGTAGTGGTAACGGCCTAAGGCTTTCATAGTATCCTCCCCATTTGGCACACCAGGGCCGGAATATAAGGATGCCTGAGGTTTGGTTTGATTGAAAGCCCAGCACCTGTTTATCGTTTTTTGGGAACATATCTGTTTTAGTCAATGGTGCAAGATGCTTGACAATGATACGAAAAGTCTCCGCCTGTTTTGTAAAGATCTGTGCTGCGGAGGAAGAATGCTAATGTCTGGATGATAAATGGGTTTGGCTTCATCTTCGACATTGGATGTGGTGGGGATTGGGACACGGCTCAATTCCGAACATGATTGCAGTCTCTGCGTCGGATGTGTGCAATGCTCATTGTGCAGGACAGGCATCCGAGTTTTCTTCGAACAAAGGTTGATTGACAACGCACAATGCAGTTTGCGCAGCCGGACGGGTGGTGGCCTACTTGGCTGTGGGAGATGATGACGGCGCATTTTTGCAGGGTTTCTTCTTTGGGATGTTGCAAGCACCTTATGTCTGCTGTATGTGGCGGACCCCCTTTTTGAACAGCTGTTTTATGGAGAGTGCATATGTTCTGGAATCTTAGGGGGCCATTCTCAGTTGAAGCACGTCGCACGTGTTTACCTGTGATAGTCACGGGGCTCGTTACAAACAACTGTTTGCTCTCAAGAGCGAGCGCTCTCGTGGATGAACGGCCGCAGGTGTTTGGTACCAATGGAAAAATCTGTCAGAGGTGCCTGGACTGTGCCAGTGTGTTTGCAGTGCAATGATGTATATATATATATGTTATGTTATGTTACTCTCTTGAAAAATAACGTGGCCCTGTAAAGTGATTTTTTTGTTTTTTTGATTATATATGTTAGTGGAAGGGGCTCTAAGGGTACAAGTGGTACGTAAGTGTGAGGAGGATATGTTAGCACTTTTCTGGACGGATATCTGGTGGATATCTTTGTTGCATTCTTCTGAAAATAACGTAACCTTGTAATTTGGAATTTGTTGGTGTGGAACATGTTAGTGGAAAGGGCTTCACAGGCTTACAAGTGGTGTGTGTGCGCCGGATATGTGAGCACTGTGAGCACTTGTTCTGGAGGGATATCTTCGCAAGTTTTGTGGACGTGAGACAGCTTGGCTCCAGAGTTTTCTTTTTTTTCTGGAGCACAACTGCCATGCTGCCGAACGGGCAGCCCTACGTAACCACTTGGCCTTCCCAGCGGAGCTCTGTCAAGCTCCGGGCTGCAGTGACTGTGCATTTGGTGTGGAGCACAGGAAGGGCACTAACATAGCCCGCTAGATTGAGCATGGAGTTTGCCAATAGTACAGGAAAGGACTAACATAGCCCTCTAGATTGAGCATGGAGTGTGCCAATAGCACAGGAATGCGCTAACATAGCCCTCTAAATTGAGCATGGAGTTGCCCAATGCGCACCCAGAATGGCAACATTCGTAGTCGCCCCAGACCAGGTTAGCAGTGTTTTTGGAAACTACCTCAAAGCAAAAGTTACATGCAATTCCCCAGGAAACACCGGAGAAGGCTTGGATATGTTAGTTGGGGTCCTCACTGCTGCCAGGGATACGCTATTTTTGGGGAGTGTATCTCATGTTATCTTATGTCATGTAATGGTATAGTATGGTATGGCAATGTATGTATGGTATGTATGTAAGTAAGTATGTAAGTATGTATATAAGTATGCATGCATGTATGTAAGTATGTAATGTATGTAATGCATGTATGTAATGTAATGTAATGTAATGCAATGCAATGCAATGCAATGCAATGTATGTATGTGTGAAATGTATGTATGTATGCATGCAAGTATGCAAGTATGTAAGTATGTATGTAAGTAAGTAAGTATGTATGTATTTTTTCCTAAAGTGTCTTTTACTGCATGAACGGTTTGGCTCTAAGTATGTTAAAAAATCCTAAAGAGGATCCTTTTCAGTTGAACGAGCCGCTGCATGCCTCGGCTGCCCGCTGCTTGCAGTGTTGCGTTCCACGGCTGCCCGCTACTTGCTGGTTCTAGAAGTAGTCCACCATGACTGTTTGGTCGTCTTCTTGGGACTCTTCTTCGCCGTACTCTTCAGCTGGCATGAGCTGGTGGTGCGTGGAGGTCAATCTCCTGAGGCCTGTGGTCAGCCTGTGTGTCTGCTCCTGCTTTGGGGCTGGGTGTCATGGCCTTTGCAGGAGTGTGGCTGTCCGCTGGATCCCCGTCTGGGAGTGGGTTTCTGGGTCCTCCCTGGCTGGCTGGTTGCAGTGGCAGCAACTGCCAGTGGGCTGTGTTGGGAAATACCGTCTTGGGTCTGCAGTGGCGGTGATCCCTTAAGCCCTGCTCCTTTGCACTCCTTGTGGTGGGCGGTAGTGCTCATGATGCGTTGTTGGCTGTCGAGGTGACATACTCTTGGAATGCCGCTGCATTGACCCGTTTGTGGATGCTGGTGCCACACTTGGTGCATTTGAGGTATCAAAGCAGTGTTGGTCTTTGCCAGGTGGCTGGAGATCCTGGTTGTGCAGGATGGCCTTTATGTTCTGGGCCCTGGTTGGCTTCTTGGTGGGTGGTGGGGCTTCTTGTCCTGGTGCTGGACAAACTTGGTCGGCCTGTAGCTGTGGACAGGCCTCATTGAGTCTGGCCTCCAGGACTGGGGTGGTCAGTCTTCGTGCGTGCGTGCTCCGCAGCCGCTGCAATGATAGCCGCTGCGGTGTGATTGGGTTGCCACGGTTTGGTGCACTGTTGCACCAGGTCCTTCTTGTGCTGTTTGGTTTGCTTACCCTGCTGTCTGGGTGCCTTGCAGTGGATGTAGCGCTGCTTGTCATCAAAGATCTTCTCCAGCCTTTGGACCGCGTGGGTGTAGATGCGTTTGTGGTCTTGGTCCAGTGTTTTTTGCCACTCGGTGAGCTTGCGGTCATGCAGCATTGGCTCTCTCCCATGCAGTCAGGGCCGCATCCCTTTGTCTTCTGCGTAGCTGGGGCTCATTGCCAGGCGCCTCAGAGATTCTGGTGTTCCGGCTGATGTAGAGGACAGTGATGCGTTTCCTGTCCTGCTCAGTGACGTTGTCTAAGAGGTTTGGTATTGGTGTTGATGCGGACTCTTGTGCCGTGCTTCCCATACAGAGCTGAGCTGGATGATCACCTTGACTTGTGTCCTCTAAGTGTGTATGTATGTATGCATGCATGCATGTATGTAGGTAGGTATGTATGTATGTATGTACGTATGTATGTATGTAATGTAATGTAATGTAACGCAATGTAATGCAATGTAACGTAATGTAATTTAGTGTAAATGTAATGTAATGGTATTTATGTATGTATGTATGTATGTACGGATGGATGGATGGGTGGATGGAGGGATGGTCGCGTTCTGATGCTGATACTGGCCAAGATTCACAATCGTTGTGCCCCATTGGGGAAGACGGCTGATCCCCTCAGGAAAATTGCTCTCCAGTGTCAGGGGAGAAAAAATCAGCCTTATAATTGGTTGAGGAGTTGGTGTCACTCCTGGAGCCACGTAGGTGCCGCCTTCATAGCCCGGGATATCTCCTTCATACTGAATCTTGTAGCCAGCGAGGGCTTCAGACGAAGAAGGAAAAGATGCACCCGGAGCACTCTTGAAAGCACGCTTGGTGTTCTTGGATTCGAGCTCACTCAACTCACGGCGTTTGACAGCGTTGGTCATAGCGCCGCCCTGAGAAATAATCACTCTCTGAAAGGCGAGGGCTTACACCAGAGCAGCTGGCCTCAATCGCACCGTGAAGTGTCTCTGCACTCACGCCACTCGCTTGGGCTCGGCCATCAATTGCTCTTGCTCCTTCGGGGAAAAAGACATGATGGCAAATCACACAAATTGAAGACTATTGAGAGTCTTTCACAAAAGCTTTGAGCGCCGAAAACAAACTGCAAGGATACATGGACTATGAAGACAAATTTCGTGAAACTACAAAAAGAACGGTGAAGACAAAGCGGCTAAGGCTGTCCGCACAAATGTTCAAGACTCGAACAGGCAGAGTGCTACCGCTTGTGGTTACCCATACCTTAGTTTAGGCTTTTCACTCACTGGTATGGTTCCCCATGGGACCTCTCTCGTCGGACTGCCCTGTGTCTCGGTTTTTCTGGCGGCAATCACGTTCTGCAGCCTGTTGAGCCAACGCATAGTTCTCAGGCGAGATCTGATATGAGGACGATCTGATGCAGGAACGAAGCAAGTCCATAGGGTCCTGTTTATCCTTAGTCAAACCGTCAAACCATGAGCTATCATGCGGTCGGTTGGGAGCCAACGCACGGAGGCCTGAGTCAATTTGAGTGACTCTCTTATGATCACTATGTCGATGCTTGTACGGCGATCTTCAACAGCGGTTGGAGAAGAGGGAGAGATCAAGTGATCAAACAAGGACTTTATACAATCAGTAGCTAGGATGGGAGGCCTACGAGAAAGCATCTCTCGTCCGGCTCTTGGTTCAAATGAGCCATCTAAGGTCTCGCGCGTGAGAAGGCTGACCCATTCTACGGAGTGGAAACATGTGCCCTAACTGAGGCCTGCGACAAATCGTACCCTGTGATGAGATCATATGAGTCACACCTACCACCAACACCGGTCACTAGAGGTGCAAATCTCGGTGGGCAAAACACTTCTGCTACGTGCAGCTGTCCTGATTCCGCCTGAACTGGATTGAGGGGGTTGTCAGAACGTTTCTCTAACTGGCGGACTTGAGACTTCAGTTGACGGACGTAATGCGTGGGGAGGCTGTCAAGCGTGGAAGAAATCTCCTGAGGCCGAAACCAGAATTCAGTGCGAATGTGCCAAAAGTCCGACGGCCCCGGATGGTGATAACATGCTTTTCCTTTTTGTGGGTTGATGTCCTCATCGAACAAAACAGTCTCTGAACTCTCATCTATGACTCGGCGTCGAACAACAGAGTGCCACAAGGGTCCTTGTTTAGTGGGGTTTGTTTGACAAACGAATCCCTTCGAACCCAGCACTGAAGTGAGTCAGACGTGCCTGAGTCAGCAGGTTGGGGTTGTGCAGCCGGAGGTTCCGATGACTCCTCTTCCAGGCAGGAGACGGTCCTCTTCGACCCGCGAGGGTTATGACTCTGGAGCCTGAGTGCTGCGCATGACTTCCTGTTCGAAGTCGGGTCGATCCGAAGTGCCAACCACCTTCACTGCGAATTGACCTGCTTCGTTTGTCACCCATGGCACTGACGCACGGTTGTCAAACAATGTCAACTGTTGCTTGCCAAAGTCAATGACTGCTTTCAATGTCTCTAAGGCGTTGCGAGAAACCAAAGACGGTGCTTGACCCTTCACAATGGCAGTCCGAATAGTACCCTTCTTTCCTCCCAAGGTAACTGGGAGGCGAATCACTTCAGGGTCCTCCGGCAAGGGATCACGACCGACAATGGACCGACCACAACCGGAGTCCAAAACTCCGTAACGGACTGACCAGCACGATTTCTGGAGAAGGCAATGCACTACGTCGCTCACGCACAACTGCTAATGGAGAGAGGGTGTCACTGCAGATACCAGCCATAGCCACGAAGTCAACATCTCCTCTGGAAGGGGCTGGTGCTCAACTGTTGTCGCCAAGGCAGCGCCGGTTTCCTTCCTGGGCTGAGTGCTGGAGGTTGCTCCTCGATTGGAACTTGAGGATGTTGTGCGAGGTAACGTGCATTCACGAGACCAGTGTCCGACATTTCCGCAGCGGTGGCGTTTTGTCTTCCTCTTGAGTTCTGCAATTTCCACCCG